CATACTTTAACCACCAGAGGGATATTTAAAACAAAAAAAGATATCATGAAATACCTCGACTGCAAGAACAGAACAGACAATAAAACACTAGCTCCTAATACAGTATTATTCTAATCACCAGAAGCGTGTCCTGCAAAACAAAAAGATTAACTTTAATTCCAGACATTTAAGGGTTGTAGTTACTAATGTTACAAAAAAGGAACAGACTAAAACTTCTAATGTTTACAGTATTTGACTCGGCCACCTTAGATATTTAAACACAGTATAACCCCAAAGTTTCACTGGGCATGGCTTTATCACATCGCGTCTGCAACATGGTTTGGCGCCATGACCCTCAAGTCTTCAAATCCCACTGAGAACATTTCAGAAGCAGAGCCTCTACAGAGCATGTTGCCTTCCCGACAATGTTCACTTGTGTATACTGTCATGAAAAAAGGATCCAAAACAGTGTGTTTCTCCGCTTCAAATCTCCTGTAACCTGCCTCTGACTGATTGACTTCTAGCCTGGTGCCACACATAACATGGCTAGCTTTCACCATATTCTTATGGCAGAATATTATTGTTGGGTCGTCAAAGCCACGTGTCCTGTTTAGGAGCTGTTAAGTAACTCCTAACTAGTCCAATTACAGGCACAAAACAAAACCTCACCCATGGGAGTCCAGTAAACATCTCACTTAGTGCCTCATCACCCTACACAAAGTCCCAATTGTACTTTATATTATGTTTAATTGTCCCCCTCTCTACTGTAATATGTGATGAAATAAGGCCTTTGTGTGAGTTCCTGTCTTTTTCTTGGCAGTACAATTCATTCTTCCCCAGTAATAACGTTCTATTGTGAGCTTAATCCTGAGTCCTTTCCTCATAACCTCCCTGCTTGAGGCACTGTTGCATGTACAACAGACTGGGTTACAAAATCTTGATTACAGTCACATATGCATCACTCAGTCTTTATATTTGGCTGTAGGAATTATTGTCAGCCATTGAGCATCATTCTGTTCCAATCCCTGGTTTTCCTACAGATGGAAGTAAACAAGATTTTTTGCTCATTCCAAAAAAGTTTTAAACCCAAGAAATTTATGATATTTGTGCTCATATTGCAAATTGAATTCCAAATCCTTCTGAACCACATTTACATTGGTATAAAAAACAAAAAATCCAAAAGCTCCTCTTTTTGGATTATATCATCAACATACCATACCAGGTGGTAGTAGAATTGAAGTAAAAGCAATTGTACATTTGGGTGCATGTATTCATAACCCCTTTTTCTTCCTTGTAAAGTACACCCCTTAACATGAAAACAATATGTATAGGCATTCCATTCAGTTAGTTTTATAATTAAATCAGTTGGAGGCATCAAATTAAATTTAAGATAATATCTGAAAGCATTATCTTTATGGTGGACAGTGTTTTATAAAGACCCCATATTCCTAATAACCATAATCCTTGAATCACTACATGAAATATCAGTGATTTTATTGAAACCATGGACATGCAGGGGTTGTTACACCACAAAGAGTTTAATTAAAAAGTAAATACATTAGATATTGGCTCTGATAGCTCTGATAGCCTCTGTGAATATTTGTTGTCCTCAGGTGAACCAATGCTTCGTGGAGTGTAAATTTCATTTAACTTTGATCATAACACTGGAACTGTTGGGAACCACACGGATCTTCCCTTTCCGAACTGGGCCAAAATGGCAGTTCAAGAGGTTTTCTTGCTGTGCTGTGTCTTGCAGCAGAAATCAGAAATATATATATGATGGGGGTGCCCGGTTAGCTCAGTCGGTAAAGCTGGCAACCCATATACACAGTGGCCCGGGTTCAACTCTGACCTGCGGCCCTTTGCTGCATGTCTGCACCCCTTTCCTGTCTCTCTCCAGCTATCTCTGTCAAATAAAGGCATAAAGGCCAAAAAATAATACTTTAAAATATATATATAATGATATGGATGTGTATGTTGAGTGTATATGCCAGTTATAAGTTAGTTTTGTAGATCGGTGTATGTGAATATGTGCATACTCTCATATGGCTCTGCCTGTCCCTCGTGGTTCCTCAACATCTCAGTTCTGATTGGTTGTGAAGGGACAGAGATACCGGCCCTTAATTGCAGCTCAGACTGCCATTGGTCATTATTTCTGCTAGTGTGATGGTCTTGGAATTGTCTGGGTAAATGAGGGTTGGACAAACACACACAGGCACACACACAGTTTTTGGTTGGGGTTCTGTCCTGGATAATTGGTTAGAAAAGCATCCAGTGGGATCACACTGCTGTCCCTCTGGCCCTGGCTGCCATGGTAAATAACGAGGCTCATAAACATGAAAGGCGGGGGGATGATCATCCTGATTTGAGCTTTAGACTCAGAGGAGATCAATTAACGAGTTCAAGAACTTCAATAACCATATAGTAAGAGCATTTTTCAATTAAACACTCATTTAAACTTGGAATAATAGACTAAAGGCATTCTGCTGCTGCATCAAGCTATTGTAAAACCTGTGTATTTATTCATTATCTTTATTTCCAGTGATATAAATACATTTTTATCATGTATGATTACAAAACAGACACAGCTACACTGGAATAGAATGTCAACTGCAAAAAAACTGAAGTTTAGTGACTTGCAAAACCATTTCCCAGCAAGAAGATAAGATCAAGTCTAATATACCAGCAAGTCCCTTCTCTGCTGTAGTGTCCTTGAGCAGGATGATGCTAAATCCCTACCAGCTCCAAGGGTTTCTGCTCTGTAAGCTGACTCTGCAATCTGTCTCCCCTGTGGAGTGGAAGAAGTGAAGAGTCTCTCTATCGGGGATCGATAGAGCATCGCAAAAAATGCTCTGGACTGACTTCACTACTGGACACTCCAAGGTTTTCATCTAACACCTGTGGTGTGTTTGATATAAAAGGATCATTAAGATCAAAGGGGGAAGATAATGATCCTGATGTGAACCGTAAAGTCCAAGGAGATCAATTACATTTACATTTTACAATTTAGGCATTTAGCAGGGTCTGTAACCCAGAGAGAATTAGAATAAGTACAGCAGCAGAATTTACCTCACTTTTAATTCATCCGCACAAGCAGCCTGTAAAAGGAAGTGCAAAGGATAAAAAGAAATTCCATACACTCCTCCTCTTATCCACATTAACAATCCTTTACAGAATATTATAAGTTGTACAACATAGATCCAATCAAAAGTTTCTCAGCCATTTTTATCTAGTATGCAAGATAATATTGCACTGCACTGATACGTTGCCGTGCCATCGTAGAAGCAATAACTCTTTGCTTTGTAATAGTTACACTCACAAGTGATTCTAACCTAGACGTAAGTTAAACTGGCTATAAACAAACTTTAGAAAATAGATGATAATATTAAACATAGATAGACTGATAATGCTCTCTGAGGTGTTCCGATATTGAAAATGTCATTCATTATTGCTTGGATATCCAGCACTGTGACATTTATTTGGGATACACTTTAAAGCAGCCAAACAGCGGCATTACTGCCATGTTTTATATGTTGTGCTGAAAAATCAACATAATGCCTGTTGCTGTTTTGTTTTGCATCTACTCCTCTCCTCCTATACTCTCCTTGTTGCATCCTCCTACCAGCCTCCCACCACATACATAAAGCTATAATGATGAGACAGAAGCTCATTAAGATCTAGTATTTATCCTCTTCCTCCCTAAAGAAATCATTAACTGTCCTTGATGCTGCATCACGTGTGCAAGAGTTCGCATTTGCGTCATTTCTCTGTTGTATTCGCTTCCAAATAGACACAGTGAGTGATGTATATCTCTTTAAAAAAACACTCATGCATGTGTCCTTCAGTTCCAAATTGCTGAGTCATGTTCAAAGGCATTGTTGAAGCTGACTGACACAGACCTATTGTTGTTATGCATTCTGACATGTCAGTAATTGATTGGCAAAAACAAAGAAATAGCCAGCTTTTGATCTTTTCGAGACACACAGGGTGAATCCAAGAGAATGCCCCGGTCGCTTATTGATTTCACCTATTAAGTCAGGTGGAACGATAGCTCAGTGGCGACTGAGTTTCCCTTCAGTCAGGGGACCTGGGTTCAAGCACCCCATGCTGAATGTGAATACCAGCTCCCAGGGTGCTGCTCTGAAACAGACCCTGCCCTGTGCCCTCGCTGTAGGAAGTGAAAAGATTATGTTCCGGGCAGCACCACAAACTACAGATTCATGGAGCTATATGATTTTTCTGACAAATACTTGATTCAACAGTCTTGGCAGTAGCTAAAGTGTATATTCCATTAATATGTAATCATACATCAGCATCAAAGAACCAGGATATATCAGACTCTAGCTGACCTACTTAGTATCACTCATGCTGACTTGTGGCTTATTCCTACATTGATGTAAATTATCTCAGTACCAGACTGGCACTTTTTAGCACTGGTACCTGTAAAAGAAATAATTATTAGTGAACCACCATTATTATCCATCAGTACTGTTGACTCCATTTATAAAAAAAATAATAATACTGTGGAACCATGTCAACCTGATTGGTGCAGAGGGATAGTGTGTATGTGAATGTGTGTCCTTTTGTGTAACTAATAGTTACTGTGTGCATGTGCTTCTTATTGTGCGAGCGCACCCTGCAGTTGTTATTCAGTGTCTGTCAGAACTAAAGCTAAGTGAGCACACAAACACAGCACACCCTGCAAGACACAAACTGACTAAGGCTACGTGCAAAGAGAAACATGTATAGATGCAATCAAATGATCCCTTTGTAGCACAGAGACACACACATGAATGTGTCATTTTATTACTCTCTCATCGTCCGTGCTGTTTTGTCACTTACGTGCTTTAAACTTTAAATTTGATTTCTCTCTCCCTGCTTTCCTTTTTCTTTCTCTTTTGTCTCTCCATCATGTTGTCTACAACACAGCAGCTGTTGTTTGTCACCATTATGTTTTCTCATTTTAATAAACTAAAACGATGTTCAAATAAACTCAATGTTCTCTCTTTTCTCTCCCGCAGGTTTCATCTACACATGTGGCGGTACACTGAAAGGCAGAAATGGCAGTATAGAATCGCCAGGCTTTCCCTATGGCTATCCCAATGGGGCGAACTGCACCTGGGTCATTGTTGGGGAGGAAGGAAGTCGAATCCAGCTCATGTTCTTGTCATTTGCCATAGAAGAAGAATATGACTTCCTGTCCTTGTATGATGGACACCCGCACCCTGCTAACTTCAGGACCAGGTAGGACCAGTAATTTGTTAAATAATAACATGTGTTTTTTTTTCTGGTAAGTGGTTAGATTTTCAGAGCAGCAAAATCATGCATATTTGAAAAAGTATGTAATGACAGTAGGCTCTTAAGTAGGACACATTAAAACTGTATTTTATAAACTTTATTTAGACCAATTTGACAGCAAATTATTTGTGTTGAACATCCTCTAATCTCCATGAAAAAGTAGCACGGCAAACACAGCATAAACACCTGTTATGGCATATAGCCCATAGTTTAATATTAGGTTACCATTGATGTGCAGCCAGTTTTCACTTCTTTAAACTGAAGCTATGAAAAGGTACTCCTTTGTGTTTTTGCCAATTAATGATTGAGCTCTAATGAGTTAATTTGTGTGTGTTTACATGATCAAATATTTGGGATCATGAGTTCAAAAGAAAACTGAAAACCTGTGTAGGAATATATGAATCTCATATTTTGAGTTTTGGTATGAATTAATTATTTGGAAAGCACATTATGTTTTATAACAACATAAATGCTTGTTGTTTCCACAAATGGAGACCAGGTTTTATCAGTGCTGGGCTGGATTCTCTTGAGTAATACTATTGCAAGGGAAAAAATGAGCCAACAGGGTGCTGTCCTGCTGTAGTACACACACTGCCAAGGTTCAATCAATGACACTGTGGTTTCCCTTCAGTTATTGAACTATTTCATTGAGCTCTGATTGCAAGAAACACAATACCCCAAAAGAAACTAATTTCAGATAAGCTATTAAACTCTCCTTGCCTTATGATTTTATCAGGCAATCAATAGTGCCTAATAGCATCTCTCCGTGACTCTATTCACATTCGACATGTTCTTTTAACCCTGCAATTAAATTATTATTAAGTTATTAAATTAAGTGTGAAATGGGAGAGTGCTAGTCTATTGAAATGTTTGATTTTCTTATGGTTAAACATTGATGGTGATTAGGTTGAAACTGAAGTTTTGACAGATGTTGCACAAGTTGACCCACAAAAAGGACCTTGTCACCTCTTTTATACTCTTAATCTAAGTAGAACTGCAGTTTTATTAAAGACCTTACCGTACCTTAGAATGAACAGTTTTTATCTACAGAGGGAGTGGGTCCTCTTCTATGAAGTTTGCCATGTTGAATGGAATGTACATATGTGTAAGTCCTTGCATCCAACTACAGTTACACGTTCACATGTAAAATTACTGCTTCTCCTTCTCAATAGAAACCAAACATTACAACCAGTATATTATATGTTTTATATAGTATATATACAGTCGCAGCATTCCTCAATTCTAATTAGCTGTTGTATTTGATCCTTTAATCAGGCTTCTCTTTCTTGCTCACAGTGTAGTTTTGTGGAAGTAAGAGAAATTGTGAATGAGCTCTTGATTTCATTTTGGATCTTGCGAGTGGGAACATTCACCTGGAACTAATTCTTGGACTCAAGACTATCCAGCCTGAAGCCAAGGAAAGCTTCACACAAGAGGCTCCTCTGGTGCCTCCTCTTCTTCAAGGCAACAGCACTTTTTACACACACCAGCCTTGGCCACTTTGATGAGGGACGCACAAACCCATGGAGGAAGCTCTGCTTATGGAACAGATCCACCTGACAAAAGAAAAGACGATTGAAAAAGATGCCAACTCTTTCCCAAACTTTAACTTTGTTGTTGCCTTTTGCCTTTTACATTTATTTTTTTATCAAGAAAACATATTCATAACTAGGGGCTTTAGAATTAAGGAAGATCGCAATCTCGGTCTTAATATCCTGTACTCAGCCCAGTCACTTTTGGCCAGGAACTTTAAAAATATATTTTTCAACAGCGCACACAAATCTGTTTTGCATTTCCACTGTCCACATTACAGCCCGAACTATTAACTGTTTTCACTTTTGAGCTTGAATTGCTTTGTTTAGACAAGCATTAGGCAGGAGCCACTGTCGATGAGGTTCTAAAGTTAGAAGTGGATTTCTTTAATTACATCAGGCATGCATAAGGCAGCTACCACTGACCTAGTGCCGGGCAAAGGAAATCTGGTTTGATTCAGTTGAGGAAAAAGGATGTGCATCGTGGAGAGATGAAATGAGTCCCCTTGATACTTGGTCTGTTGCTGAAAAGCAATTCTCTCGCCACAGGGAATGAAGCGTGTTCCTTTGGTTCAACGGACATCATTTCTAATCAGCCAGCTGCAATAATCAACCTTTCTCGGACAATCCAGTGGCTTTTAGTGCTCAAATTGCCATACAGACTTAATTAAACAAAGGAGCAATAGAATATAATAAAATAAAACAGAACAGAGAAGGGTGACCATGAGATTTCCCTGCTATTCATTTTATTCTGCAGGGAAAAAGAGAATAAACAGACGAGGCAGAAAGTGAATGATGCCCTTTCTGCTCTTATTGGTTGATGAGGATTTCCTGCTTATCTGAGATAACAGGAAAGGACGTACTGAGTGAGAGTGTGCGTACATGCATTCATGTGCATATGTTGTGCATGTGTCTGTCTGTGAAGAAGATTTATGGTCTGCATAGTTACAATCGCCCCCACTAGTTAAGCCAAATTAGCTTTGCCGCCATTCTCTCTCGTTCCTTCTCTTTTTTTCTCTCTCCTTCACTCACAAACACAGACACACACATGCACATGGACACACACATGCCATGGGCACAGGGCAAAATGGTGATTAAAAGGTCTGATCCATTAACAAGAAAATGGTAATTATGGGGAGAGTGATTAACATGGATCAAACAGAAACATGCCTGGGCACGCAGACACAGTAAAGTACATGTACACAGCCACCTGACACACATCATACATTGTGTCATAAATGTAACTGAAGATCTTGTCAGGTTTGTTCGAATCAGAGGCATGATTCTTTTTAAACTGTATGAAAATTCTACAGCTGATGAATGATGGCAGTTTTTTTTTCCAATTATCAACCTTCAAGGTGATGCTGCATGTCCTCAAATCAGGGTCAACTCTTCACCAGATACACATTAATCAAGATTTAAAAGTGATTTTCCAATGGTAACGAGGTAATGGCACGTCGCTTGATTGCTGCGTGTTCTGGAGCCACGTTCCAGCTCAGGCAGTTGACAGCACAGCAAGCGGGCACTTGTGAAGCATTCGTCTGGCGAGAGGATGAATCATATTATTAACTGACTTTCGTGTTAAACACGGATTCAAGCACTGTTGAAGAACATTTCCTCTCAGTCCCCTCTTGAAATATTTATTGACTCTGGTTGGTAGTTGGAACCATTGACTGTGACAAACAGAGTGTTTTGAACTTTGGGTGGGTCTTGTCTCACCTGTCCACCCTCTTCATGATGTTAGAGCAACAAACAGATATGATGAATGGAAATGTTCCTACTCTCTGTGCCTGTAGACTTAGACTTTTGAAAGCCAGGATGCATGCACACACCACACACACAACCACACCACAACCTATACAAAAACATCACACACACTGTTAATCCCAACATTAATACTGATCTGGACTTAAAATTACAACATTTGTGCCATTGTATGTCTTTTCGTCAGTATAGCTGGGTCAAGCATTTTTTTTTCCCAATCATTTGTACCCTTATTTATTTCATCAGTTAACCAAATATAATCAAAAGACAATGAGTACAGAGATTACACCGATCAGCCATTAACTGAAGCACTGACAGTTATGGATAACACTGATTATTCTGGTTTAATGTGTGCATGGCACCTGTCAGCGGTGGTGGAATTACTATTTAGCACGCAAGTGGCTGGGAAGACATTTTGTCCTTCCAAAAAGAGGAGGTTTTGGTGTTTTTGGATGTTAGAAGGCAGGAAAAATGGGCAGGTAAAGATTAGCATGCGACTGACACTAGGGCCAATTGTGCGATGGCTAGATGACTGGGACATAGCATCTCCAAAGAAACGCAGCTCTAGTGGGTGTTTCCTTTCTTCGAGTCATCCGCATCTACAAGAAGTTGTTCAAAAGGAAGAAAGGGTGAACCAGAGACACGGTCATGGGCTGGCCAAGCTCATTGAGCACCTGGGAACGAAAGGCTGCCAGTTGGTTGATCCACAAGCAAGCTACTAGAACCAAATCTGAAAAATGTAAGCTGTTTCTAATACGGAAAGTGTCAAGAAGGCAACACCAGTGCACATCATGTTTTTATTTGGCTGTGTATGGGGCTGCATAACATTATGATCACCAGGGTGCCCAGGTGGTCATAATGTTATGGCTGATTGGTGTAAAATAGTGATAGTACCGACTCAGTGAATGTGTTTTTTTTTTTTGTATGTTTTTTTGTTTGTTTGTGCTTTAATGTAGTCTTTAACTTGGTACTATTGTTTGAGTGAATTCATTCCAAAAACATGCTACCCCATGTGGCTTATCAACTGCAAAGTTGGGAATACCTAGAAGAAATATGAACTAATAAATATGTAATTGCACTAACAATTTCCACTCTAACTCTCCCATGGAGAGTTTTCTTAATTAAATTGATAAAATATTTTAAATAGGGAAATTAAACTATTTAATGAAACATAGTTCCTCATTAAAATACATAAATATTCTAATTGATTTTGTTCTTTGTTGATCTCATAATCACTATTGTATATGACCAGTCCAACCTGCTTTCATTAGGAAACAAAAGAAAAACATAGTAAGAGGCAGAAGAAAAAGACTGTGACTGTGTTGTGAGTACAAATCTATTTGGAATTTTGGCAATACAGTACAATAGAGTACAGAAAAAATATTTACCTTATTTTATTGTTTATGTCCATACTGGATGGTTTTACAAGAAACAATGTATGCCCATTGCCAACAATCAGTGCAGATGCTAACCCTTAAGACTGGAGACTGCACTTTCCATCTTGGCTTTTTAGAGGAGAGACAAGTAAACTTTACTGTCTCCAAGGAGAATTTTGTCTTGGGCACAGTGCAGCAATCCTTTGATTCACATAAAAAAAACAAGAGAAAAAACATCACAAAACCGACATGAAACATCTTGAAACATGAAAGA